TATGGGTGATCCTCAGGAAATGGTCCGTCAAGCAAAGAATCTTGCAGAAGCAACTTCAGCTCTAGTGAATGCAATAAGAAGAGAAGCTGAGAATGAAACTGACCCTGACGCCAGACACAGACTACTTGATGCTGCTAAGGCTCTTGCTGATGCTACCTCTAAGATGGTGGAAGCTGCTAAAATGGCAGCAAAGAATCCTAATGTAAGAGAGAGGGGGAGGGAGGGAGGGAGGGAGGGAGGGAGAGAAGGGGAGAGAGAGAGAGAGAGAGAGGAGGGAGGGAGAAAGGAAGATAGACAGATGGGTAGATTTGGTTGTTTGGGCTATCACTTCATCACCAGTTGCTATAACCTAACAGTGTCAATTGATGATAATTATGATCACAGAGATTGCTTTATGTTGATAAGTGACGATTGACTGTTTAGTAACACTCATTCAAATGATTTGTGTTAATAAGCGAAGATTAAATGTATGCATGGTACATGTACATGTACATATGATCTCATATTTATTTATTTATTTATTTATTTTATTTATAAATTATAATGATATAAGATACAGATTGATTATCACTTTTCCTCTAAGACCAATTTTAATTAACATAATATAGTTTTAAGAATTATGAATTGATAAAGTAGTTAAACAATATTTATTAATATTATTATTTTATTTATTTGTTTGTTTAGGATGAAAATGCTGAGAAGAACCTAAGAATGGCTGCCGAACATTTACGTGCTGTAACTAACGCAACGGCAATGTCAGCCATGAAGAAGAAGGCAATCAAGAAGTTGGAAATGGCGGCTAAACAAGCAAGCGCCGTCTCCACTCAACTCATTGCAGCTGCCCAGGGAGCAGGAGCCTCTAACAGGTATTGTAATGATGTAATAATGATGTAATATTGTATATATTATTTAAATAGTAGTTATAAGCATGGGCTATAGTAGAGGGTATTTCATCAAAATTGGCAAAGAGAGAATTCTCCATTTATATATTTTTATCTGATGCATATACATGTTCTTATGTTGTGTAGAAAGTTTGAGCTGATTCCGATCAAGTTTGGATTTTTTATGAATTTTTAAAGTTTCTCCAAAATCGGGCCAAAATCCCTGTACTATAGTACAGGGTGTTTTATGACAATGGCTAGGAGAGAGCTCTAATTTATAACTTTTATCTGATACTTATACATGTATATA